ACTTCAGTGTATGGGTGAAGATATTAAACCCATTGTTACATACTGCGGTTTTGACTGTAATGTGCGTCGGTGGCACAGTGGTTAGGACTCTCGCCGACCATGCACATGGTCCGGGGTTCGAGCCCGCATCGACGCACATCTGATATCTATGGTCGGCCTGCAAAATTTGGGCTACCGATATCCATGCTGAAAATTCCATACTTGTACCGAAAATACAGTGTGGAATCAAGCTGTAAATCAAAAAATTAAAAAAAAATTAAAAAAAAATACAGAAGCTAAGCCGCTTGACACTGAAATGTCGAAGTCTTTTAGTCAGCGACTTCAGTGTCTTACCACACCATCTTCAGACCACTCCTCTAAATATAAACTGCCGGAATTTAGAATCTTTCTAGCCTTAATCCAGCATAAAGTGAAATCATGAAGCTGAACCCACATCGCTAAGATCAAAGTAATTGTAGAGATGCGCCAATCAAGGATGAAGTGCAAAATGCACCTGGCTTGAAATGTACAGACAACTCAAGGAAATTTTCTCGAAAGTGAACTTTGTAAATAAGGTACCTAATGGGGTTTTAGAGGTTGACGGATATCTCGTTCAGCAACTTCTAATTAATTTATTCTCGCGTACCAAAGACAAAGCAAAAGCCAATAATTGATCGTCCAAACTCGTAATATATTTTGGAACCAAAACAAGCCTTTAGACGAACGCTTAGCTAGCTAGTGATCGTGCACGTGACACGACGGGGTACCAAATGGCGGGGATGCTTGACCGGAAGCCTTCAGCTAAACAAGTCGACTTAAACAGTGGTGGTCAGCATCCAATGAGTGATTGCTGTGGTCAATAATTTTGGGGAATTATTTACCGCTACAGCTCACTCCCCCCCTAGTGGGGTCGTGAGGACCCTAAGACAGAACCAGCCGGAAGTAAAAAAAACTCGATGGTTCCCTTTCGGGTGAAAAAAATCTTCCGAGCGGCTTGGTCGTATGCCTACTGGTTTGTCTGCCTATGCTAATAGGGTGTTTGTACATAGCTTCCTTGTTGTTGTTCGTTGGATTCCGTGCTTCGTTTGTTTCCTGTCCAGTGCCCGTCGCACCTGGAAAAGAAAACAAGAACGCTAAGAACCATGTCGAGGAAAATGTACGAAATGAGCTTTTTGGTTAAAAAAATTATGTGCATTTACTATACAGTAAAATAATGCTAAGTTCAGAACATCGAAAAAAAATAATACATCTAATTAATTTTTTGTGTATGTTACATGAACTGTTGGAAAAAAAATTTTTGTGTTCGGTGGTACTGTATATAAAAAAATTTATACGTCAAAAAAAATAGTTAGTACCACAAACGAGTGAGTTGCGTGAATCACACGACTTCGTTAAGTCAAATAAGTGTGCAGATATTCTGGGAACCTTACGGTGCGTCCAGAACGGTTTTTCTTAGGAGGCTCAACCTTAGTAGCCAGTGGGCGAATGCCCTTGCAGTCAATAGTGTGACCCAGGAAGTCGAGTGAGTCAACACCGATTTGACATTTTTGAATATTAATGGTAACACCATGTTGGCGTAACCTGTCAAATGCCAAGTCCAAGTGCCTAAGGTGAGTTTCCTTGTCTGGACTGGCAATGAGGCAGTCGTCTAAGTATGCGTATACAAAGTCGAGACCGCGAAATACTTCGTCGATGAAGCGTTGGAATGTTTGGGCTGCATTCCGGAGACCGAATGGCATACGTAGAAATTCAAAAAGTCCGAAAGGCGTAATGATAGCCGTTTTCGGGATATCTTCTGTTGCCATCGGGATTTGGTTATACGCTTTAACCAAGTCGATTTTGGAGAATATAGTCGCGCCGGATAAGGTTGCCGTCAAGTCGTGTATATGAGGCAACGGGTAGCAATCAGGGGTTGTTTTGGCATTCACTCGCCGGTAATCACCGGTGGGTCGCCAATCGTTGCTATCCTTTTTCGGAACCATATGAAGTGGGGATGCCCATGGGCTATTCGAAGGTCGAATGATGCCAAGGGTAAGCATATGGTCAAATTCATTCCTGGCGATTCTCAGTTTGTCAGGAGCTAATCGTCGTGCTTTAGATGTCACAGGTTGTCCTGTGGTAATGATGTGGTGCATAACATTGCTGGTTATGCACGGTAGGTCGTTCGACGGGCAGTTAAGTTCCGGATACTTGTCAACATAGGTTGAAAAGTTGGATCAAGAATTGCCTTTATCTTAACGGGTGAAAACTAGGGCCTATGTAGCTGATGCCTTTGATAGACAGACTAGTAGTATTGTCAATCAGTCGTTTTCGGCGGACGTCTACGAGTAAATCATGATGATTAAGTAGGTCCGTGCCAATGATGGGCATTGTAACGTCAGCGAGAAGGAAAATCCACCGAATAGGTTTGCGTAAACCTACGTTCAGATAGACGTATTTCCTACCAAAGGTTGCGATTGGTTTTCCATTTGCAGCCTGTAAGTTGAAGGTAGGTTCCTTCTGTCGATCTGCTGCTGTAGCAGGAAGGACGCTGACTTCGGCGCCTGTGTCGACTAAGTATCGAGTCTGGCTTATCACATCATGGATGTAAAGTAGGCGGCTAGTGCCACCGGCGACGGTTGCCGCTAACGCGTGCCGGCGGGATAGTTTCCCACAGACTTTGAGACATTTCCGAAGTTACAAGGTTTACGGCAACACTTCGCTTCTTGGCCATAAGTGTTGTGGTACCAGCACCAGTCGATGTTACGAAATAATTCGTCCAGACCTTGTCGGTTCGTGAGAACGTTTCTCCTGAGGAGGGATGCTTTGAGCATCTCGTACGAGTTAATTACCTCGGGACTGAACATCTGTGATGTTACGTACTTGCTAAATTCCCGCGGTAGGGCGTGAATAACTGCGAGTAACTGTGAACGTTGATCGGTTATCCCATGCTCACAAAAATCTGCTTCAGCTAGCTGAAACCACGTTTCAGCATTATCTGGCCAGTATGGTGCGAGCTGAATGGTTTCAGGAGTTGAGCGGATACGGATGACCTTGGGACTAAGATCACTCATGACGAAAATTATGTCGAATAATATATGGTACAAGAACAAATACAAAAGGGAACGAACTCGCCTGGGTTATCTGCGGATTTATCGTGGATGAAGTTCGTGGTTGGGCTCACCAGTTTAAAGGTTGACGTGATATCTCGTTCAACAACTTCTAATTAATTTATTCTCGCGTACCAAAGACAAAGCAAAAGCCATTATTTGATCGTCCAAACCAAGAGATATATTTTGGGACCAAAACAAGCCTTCAGAAGAACGCTTAGCTAGCTAGTGATCGTGCACGTGACACGACGGAGTACCAAATGGTGGGGATGCTTGACCGGAAGCCTTCAGCTAAACAGGTCAACTTAAACTGTGGTGATCAGCATCCAATGGTGAGTGATTGCTGTGGTCAATAATTTTGGGGAATTATTTACCGCTACAGGGTCCTTTACCTGACTGTTGACAACGACACACTTGCTAAGGATCAGGAGGATCAGCCTACTTCTCCAAAGTCTTTACACAGGAGTCATCGTTTGCCACAAGATCAGCTATCGGCTGCATCGGGGGAACACAAGATAGACTCGTTTGACGTCAGCCGAGACATCATGTACAACTGCCCGAAGAAACCACATAGAGAGAAATCAATGAGTCCTGATAATCTCCATCCAATTCTTCTCAAGGAGCTACCAACACATAGCCGGCCGGCCCATTGACTACGATCTTCAAGCTATATTCTCTCCTGAATGAGGGAATTCCTCATAGGTAGGTAACAGAAGATTACGATGAACTCAAAACCCTCCTCCGGGACAACAGGAAACAGCTGAGTGCCACAAGGCACTGTACTCGGGGCTCTTATTTATTTTGCATATCAATGAGTTATCTTCGCTCACAGATTCTCCAATGGCCGTGTATGCAGATGAGTAAAAAATCTAGGGAAGGTTGAAGGGCGACGGCAATACTTTAACATTTCAAAGAGACCTCAACCAACTATTAGATTGGTGCACAGAATGGTCGTTACCTATCAACGTTGCAAAATGTGCAGCCATGTGTACGCAGGCATCAGCTCCTACGAACTGGAGGGAATAACACGCTCATCATTGCAGACTCATTTGGATTTTGGTGTCAAGACTTAAAAACAGCGCCACATTGTTGTGCGATGTCTGCGCGTAGTGTCAGATCCTTATCGGCGATTTGCAGATCATTCACTAGAATCACCAGAGGAAAGTTAACCTCCTTATATACATCCCTGGTGAGGTCAAGACTGAAAAAAGTCTATCCAAGCAGCCATTCCTTGTCTTAAAGATGACTCACATAATCTACAAAGGGTTCAAAAGAACGCAACACGTATGATTCCTGGCATGACTAATCTATCATACGAGAGAAGATTAAACGGTTTACATCTCTTCTCCCTATTATACCGCAGGCAGAGAGGTTACTTAACTATAAAGTTTAAAAGTTTAAAACATGATCACGGACATAATATTTTCTCTCTTTTCCTTCCCACGAGGTCGACGCATCTTAGAGGACATAGCAGGAGAGTTTATAAGTCAAGGTGAAACTAAATTGCAGTGAGGTGCTAGTACTCGCAGGGTCATCAACTCCTGGAACCGACTGCCAGAAATAGTAATTGTCTGCGACAAAAACTGACTCATTCAAGAAGGGTTTGTACAAGCACGGAAATTTACTAGGGGAGGATGGACATTGGCTTCAAACTTCCTATCCTCAATCAACATATCTGAATTCTGCGTCTGAACAGGATTCTAAGTTATAAATGGCTAATATAACCTCAGAGAAAGTCACTGAGGATCCGAAATCCTTTTATAACACTGAAACATAGCATGAGAAAGTCATATGATATGCGCCAACTCGTTACAACAATGAAATGAAACACTGTCAAATATTGGACATTTTGTTTCGTTGGCGCGGTTCAACGCAAAACATTACTTGAAATGGGCTGAGTTTTCGTGTTAGTTTTTAAGCACAATTCATATAATGTTGGAAGGTGAAAGTATTTTGGAGAACGCGTGCGTTGCATTGAATGTAAAGGACGAGATGTTACAATTTGATAGAGATGATTCATGGAATGTTGTCTATGAGGTATTTGTATGGACATAAAAATTAACATTTATCTTTTTGTAGCAACTTAAAAATAAGTCCACTATTTTAAATCAGAATGCTTCAGTGGATGCTGCCAGAGATATTGAAAACCGTTGGAAAAATCGTTATCGTGATGTCAGTCCATGTATGTAAATTTAAAGTTGTAAATAGTGCTTTAGTTGATTCTACTCGGGTGTTCTTGTACAATGCACGTGATGGTGATTATATCAATGCAAGCTTTGTGAGCATTCCGGATGTCCCTTCTCGGAAATATATACTAACACAGGGACCTATGCAACAAACAGTAAACCATTTTTGGTTAATGGTATGGGAACGTCAGTGCCCTGCCATTATTATGCTGAATCGTTTTATTGAGAAAGGCTCCCTCAGATGTCATCCATATTTTCCCCACAATGGGGGTTCTTCTGTACTGAAGTTAAGTGATGTTGGGTTAATTGTTGAGTTGGAGGAAGAGACAAATACAAAGCTCTTTATACAAAGAAAATTTAACATCACAAACACTGAGGTAAGACGCCTTAAAATTACCCGTGAAAAAGTTGTGAATAGAGTTATCTTTTCTCAGATTTCTCGTAGTCCTTCCTAAAAATTTATAATGTAGTGTATTCGTGAAATAACAGGTTTTTGGCCCAACTTACGAACCATGCACATTGTCCGAGGTTCGATCCCCTGCCGACGAATACCTGATGTCTATGGTCGGCCTGCAAAATTTGGGTTACCGATATCCATGCTGAAATTTCCATACTTGTACCAAAAATACAGTGTGGAATCAAGCTGTAATCAAAAATAAAAAAATAAATAAATTTCCTGGTGTATCAAGACGTTAGTGTTTAATAGCTGACGTTTCCTGATGACTAGCAACATCTTAGGTGTCAATGGGGTTTCGCGTGACCTGAGATCCCAAGTGAATTTATAAGCAAGGGACCATTCAGAGCATAGGACGAAGCGACTGTTCAGTATTATTGATATTTTCATGTGTGATGTTACATTGTACTGTCATACGAAGTAATCATAGCCGTGATTAATTGTCATGAAGAGGCAAGTTTTTCGGTAGAATTACGAATCTTAATTGTGATACCTAACACTTAATAGAATTCAAGGACTTCCTATACTTATATAGTGTCGCAATATTGTCAAGTAAACTGGAATGTCACCAGACTTCCTTAGATTTGTTGTGAGGGCTCTACAAAGATTGGTCAGGTTTTCTGGTTACTAGAAGATTAGAATTCTTTCTACAGGGAATCAGTAATTGATAGCGGTCGTAGACGGTTACATATTCCAACGATTTTATCTGATAGTTTTTAATGTTCTTCAGAGTTTTTTTATTATGATTATAGCTTGATGTCACACCGTATTTTCGGTACAAGTATGGAATTTTCAGCATGTGATATCAGTAGCCGAAACTTTGCAGGCCGACCATAGATATCGGGTGTGCGTTGACAGGGGATCGAACCTCGGACCATGTGCATGGTCGGCGAGCATCCTAACCACTGTGCCACCCCACACACACCCCATCTTCTCCCCCTTTCCTTATGGCTCAAGAGTTAAAGGTCTTATCCAAATATCTCGATTAAGTTATGTAAAGTGTGGTGCTTACTGTTGATAGTTTGACCATAGGTTCGCCCTTCTGGGTAACGAAAACATTCTTCTTAACATCAAGACTACACTAAATGGGCATGCATACATGAGAAGTATCAGTGGTTCTCCAGTCTTAATCCTAATTCATCCGACAGAGTATAAATGACTACTAGCTGAGATACTCTTCTTCAATGCACTTTCAGATATAAAACCAGTCCTGGACCTATTCGTTAATTCACTAAAAATCTGTAAACCCACTACTTTAGCCGGGTGAGTTCCGAAAGCTTAACCTTCCATGTATTACTTAATAAGATTACATAAATACTATTCAGGGAATATAAGAGACCCATCAGAATAATCTAGGTCACTGATTATCCTATACTGAAGGAAACAAATGAAATATTCTGTTGATAGCTAGTAAAGGACGTAGTATTGTAACTAATCTGTGATTCGTACTGACTCTCCAGTTAGCTTCGACAACAATTCTGCAAAAATGAGATAGGTTTTAGGTATAACAGACCATTACTAACACCTACTACATGTTACAGTATATAGGACAGGTAGCATTGGTACTCTGCTAGTCATCCGTTGTGCAACATTGTGACATTGTTTGATTATCAAAATTTCCATGAAGTTATACACACAAAAGGTGCTCTATTTGAACAAGGAGTTTATACCGTCACTCTCGGCTTAAATAACCAGTAGTGTCAACTACTGATTCTTGCTGTTTCCATTCTTATTAGATTGTGGATGTACTGTGTAGTGTCTATCTGTCTATTTCACTTTCGTCAACGTTTGCAGCCGCATTTGTGAAAATTGTTATTAAAAATAAGATAAACGTTTTAATCATAAGTTTTCTCAGAACATTGCTCATGAGTATAGTTAGGTGCAAAGTGTTATCTGTAAATGTTATGGACTCGTTCTTATTGTTGTAGTTTTGAGGTTGAATTTCCAGAAAGATTTAATATAAAAAGTCAGTGTCATCGACTCAGGATATTTGTTAGTGTGAAATATTTCGGCATCATAGATTAAAAGTCAATCTGAACAAAGAATATTCTCCTCAATAAATGCTTTTCTGGTGATTAGATCCGCGCAGTGTGGGAAAAAATTGACAAATCAGTTTAAAGTTGTAAAAGGTGTTAGGTAAGAGACCGGAGATAGTAAGACTGGTGAATATTTCATCATGAAATAACCAAAGAGTGAAATGAAACAGATATAAGCATATATTGAGAAGAGCGATAATATTGATAATAATAAGTCAGGATGGTATGAATGGGAAATTCAATAGCATTGAGAAAATTCTAGCATAAAGCGTAACACTTAGAATACGTTGATGCTAAGAGTGTTAGGACAAAATATAATAAAACAAAAGAAAAAGAGATAAGAGAAAAAGTAGTCTTGAGAGGGGGGAATTTGAATCCAAGTTTGGTCACCATAGGAACAGTTCTTGGGCGTGTTCTTTTTGAATACAAGTTCCAGTTTACATTTGTAGATTTCACATCGTTGCTATACCTTTTTAGGACTTCGGAAGTCTTAATGGTTTGCCTTTATATAGGTACCTGTTCTGACTCGTAATAGGTCTGTAATAGGTCAGTCACAGTACTGGCACCTTACATTCATCGCAGCAAGACAGTTAATTAATCATAGGCCTTAAGGATTGTGTAGAAATAGTTTTATAAGTAGTTGTGTTTTATCTTACAATTTGTTTCGACCAGATATATTTTCAGCACAGTGTGTAAAAATTTCATGACTTTTTGTAAGACAAACTTATTATTTACTTTATGATCTTACTGAATGCATGCTAGTTTACAAAAACAGTAGTTGTCAGGACTTAGAAATTCTTGCCTATTTCAAACAAGACGAAACTAAAGGTTGTGCGTACTTGCAGTCAATTGTGCAAGTATCAGCAGCAGTAATAACCAGGTAATGCATAATAGGTGTAGTTCAAAAATACGACTTAACTCCAATGGCAAACAAAAAGAATAAACAAATGAAACCATCCATATAGTGGATCAACAAAAATAATAGAAAGTAGTCGACAGAAGGTACTCGCTTCGGCGGTACATATACTAAAATTGAAACGATACAGAGAAGATTAGCATGGCCCCTGCGCAAGGATGACATGCAAAATCGTGAAGCGTTCCATATTTTTTGATGCGTTGGTGGCATAGTGGTTAGGACGCCAGCCGACCATGCACATGGTCCGGGGTTCTGTCCTCGGTCGGCGTACTCCTTTACCTCACTCAGCCAGAGGTAAAGCTGGTGAAGAGGAAAAGGTTGGGTATGAGGCTAACAACCCCATCCTGTAAAATAAATACTGCTACAGAAACTTCAAGCCACTAGCTTGAAGCCCTATGTTCCACTGGGGAACGTGAAGGAAAAAAATAGTCGGCAGAAGGACCGTGGATGCGCAGTTGGGAAATGTGACGAAATTTGAATGACCGAAGGTGTCATTCAAACAGAAGTCAGAAGACGCAATATAGTAACCCACTGCAGGTACAGTTTGATAATAAGGAAGATCGAAGGGCATGGTGAACTAAATACCAGGAACAAAAAGGCGTTTTTTTGTGCAAGAGTTCGAATGGTGGTAATGTCGCTATTTATAGTCCTTACGATTATTACGATGGATGTTTGCAATCCACCTTGTCATCCTAGTGATCCAAACTATTATTTATTTGATTGCTTCACAGCTCTTGATGTAACCGTAAAGGTCCTCTTGAATTTTCGTCATACAGATTCCATTGAAAAGATAGTGGAGAAAGAGTAATCATTGTTTCACACCTGCTTCGTTTGACTGAATTGTCCACAGAAATTTCTTACTATCCTTCATACATTTAGGTAAATCCATTTCTAGAGGTATCCATTCCATCTTTTAAGCGTAAAAAGAGTCAATTTTGTGCATATTCCCAAAGTCACCAATCCGGAGAGAGCTTTTGTTTCTTTTCAGTGTGTAATAATTTCATCTTTTTCTATAGAATTTTATGTTAATGTTTCATGTGAATGTATATGCGTTAGACTGAGGTGTGCTTACCTTCTAAAAATAGATCTTACATAAACTAATTGTTCAACTAAAAATTCGCAGTTCATAATTTCAGACTTACTAAACTGTTGAATTAATAATACTTTTATTAGTATGGTAAGTAATTCTTTGCAAAGAAAATTGCACATGCATTCTTAACTTTGTTTGTCTTATTGGAATGTAATCAAAAGAAAAGCTTAGAAAACTGAAAAAAGAAACTTTTCAGATGTCTGATTGTGTAGAACAGTTTTTTCAGTAAAATACTTGAGTTCTATTATATATATATATATATATATATATATATATATATATATATATATATATATATATATTGAGCAGTTAGTTGTCAACTTTTTGCATGATCTCAAGCAAATTGAGGTTTATCACTTGTAATATCTGCATCAGTGCATCAGCTTTTGGTACCCGAAGTATTTCTGAAAGCAAGCTACGTAATTATTGAATTCTCAAAAGCAGCACCTATAATCATGAAATCATATTCTTCATTTTTTGGTGTCAAAGTCTGGAGATGAAAGTAGAATAAAAAGAGTTCTGTACAACACATTTTATATTTGCAAATTATTTTAAATTATATCTTTAGACCAATGAAATTCATCGGGTTCTGCATATGCAATATACTAAATGGCCAGATTTTGGAGTACCGAATTCTCCTAGTGCAATATTGAATTTTCTTTGGTCTGTGAGAGCCACAGGTGCACTAGATAATTCTCTCTATCCACCGGTTGTTCATTGTAGCGCCGGCATTGGACGTTCAGGGGCATTCGTTCTTATAGATTTGGCATTGATCTTGGTAAGTTATTTCTGTGCGTAATACGCTGTACGAGACCTCCATTTTTCTCATTATCTTCTATTGATAACAGATGTTCTGCTTTAATCCTAATTTTCCCACCAAACATTCTCAGATTTGTATAATAGTTAACATATTTACTCAACTTTCATACATGCAGTGCTGTCAAATAAAAATCTGATTGGCATGTTTTTGATATAATTATTCCTCAAATGTTGTTTCGGACATTGTCTCCATAAATTTTTAGTCTCCACTAAAGTCTGTTAACTATTATGCGTAACTAGTAGTAGTAGTAGTAGTAGTAGTAGTAGTCGTAGTTCTTATAGTTGTTGTTTATTTATTCAGCTTACTGTCATAAATACCATGAAGTTGCTTCTTTTATTAGCTGTTATGTTTAGTTGTGTATTAATTTTTTTTAAAGTTTTGATTATCGTAGAGGACTGGATAAGGTCAAGGCATCAACTAATAACCCTATTTGTGATGGATAACTTTGTTCACTGTCAAATTCCCTAAGTAATTTTTTATACTAACTTGTTTAATAGATGCATACCAGGGTGAAACATTATTATTATCACTGCTATTAATGTTTTTCGTATGTACTTTTTGTTCTTATTGTTAGACAATATTCCTGTTCTTGCTACTATCTTCAACTAGATAGTCATGTTAATTTGTTAGTAATTGGATTACATACTGATGTCTAAAGCTGTCTATCATCGCTTAACTGCTACATGCTGATAAAATCTTATGTCTAAATAATATGTTAGTTTTACTGTAGTTTGTATAAATATTCTGAAACAAGTTTGAACCGTAGCCTACTATATGCAAACGTCGTAGTTTTATTGGCTTAAGAAATTGACATGTTCCTAATGAATTCACGTTTTCAGTCATGTTCCACCTACCTTAACTTGGACGACTGAGTGGTATCATTAGTTTCCATACCGTGTAGCTCAAAACCCGGTAGGTGGGGATAGTCTGTTCTGTGTCATGAAGTTTTGACTAACTAGCTTTACCAAGTAGACAACACTATTCTGATTCCATAAATCTCTATTATTCACCTAACTTTTTAGTGGTTATGTCAGAGCTGAGCAGTAAACAGATTAGAACTGCTCTAACCAAGCGACTAACAAACAACCATTTCTTCAATTTCTATGTATGTGCATTTCCTGATATTAGTTACAATTTGTGTTTTGATTTCTTCTTTCTAGATTGAACAGAGGAACTCTGTGTCCGGTGTCAGTATCAGGAATTTATTTCTTGAATTGAGGAAATGCCGTATGGGTATCATTCAAACAGCTGATCAATTAAGATTTTGTTATTGCGCTATCATTAAAGCTGCTGATACTTTGCTTGCTACGCCGGTTGACCAACGACCGTATGTCAAGGTAAATATGTCATTTTTCATATGTTCACTGTTCTGTTGTATATTGTTCCCACAGACCTAAAACAAAACCGCCAGCAACCATGTAACTTAACCATAAACCGAATTTATGAAATTTAAATAATGCCTACCCATGCCTGTATATTTGGTGTGTCCTACACTAGTAGGAAAAAATGTGTATTTTATTAAAACATTATTATTAATTATGATTGCTAATCGTATATGTAATTTATCATACTGATGATGCCTGTAAACTGGCGTCTCTCATGTACAAAATGAGAATATACTATTATTATTATTATATTACGATACTCCTGTATGACTCCTATATGATGTCATCAACTCTACCGTCACTTTTTAATTACTCTTCTCGGGATTGGTTGATTTTGACAAGACAGTAAGACGTTACTTATGTAAGACGCTTGATTTATGAGTACTACTCATTTGAGCCCTTTTTTGACGGTGGTACTTATTATACATATTTATATTGGAGTTAACGGAGTGTATAAGATCAGTATTCATGTGAAGTTTTTAAAAATTAACGATTTATATTTCCAGAATTTTTGTTCGGTAGTGGTTTGTGGTGGAATCTGAAATGTGCATTTCTTCCAATTTGAGGTTCATCAGTTGGATGCATCTACATCCCAGTGGGTGATACTTTAGACCCGATCACAACATCCGTTGTTCTAAATATTATAACGTTTTGCATTGGGTTGCTGAGCCACCAAGGACACCATGTTCAGAGGGTCTGACGTGACATTATTTATTCATACTTATGATATCTCGCTTATATTTCTGAAGTGAATTGAATAACCTCTTTTAACACACAAAATCCTTGTACAGTAATATCTGGGTAAGCTGTAGTTGCTTGTCCGAGTATTATCATTTCAACTTTGATCTTCTGCTTATGAATATAGTTATTTTTTATATGTTCTAAGGAAGTAACTTGTACATTGTCGTGTGAAAACTATATGGTTGAGATTTCAACTCTTTGACGAACGCGTGGCTCACTGGCGTAAGCGCTTGATTTCCATCTAGTGGGTCGGGTTCGAATCCCTCAAACGGGAATTGTGGCTCATAAAAAATATCTCTGGCGTAGCTAAGTCCTTAGACATCATTTTTAAGCAGTTGTTGTTCCCCATATTATTCTATTTTGACAAAGGTTTTTATGTTTTCAAAGTAGTAATGTAACATTGTGTCCAGGTTACTTATTAAAAGTAAGTCCAATTTTAAAAAAAGCTTTTTCCCACTAATCATCCTCGTTCTGTACATGTTTCACCAGATGGGAAAACGGGAAATCAGAGTTTGTCAGACAATATATAGTTGTTAAGTTCTGCTCATCTTTATTTCAACTCTGTCTAAACTGTGTCTTGAATAGCTGATCAAATAATATGCAGTACAGTGTCTCATCATAATACTAGGGGATTGGCTTATTTAGAAGTGTGGTTTTCTCGTTTAAGTAGTCAATGGTTTAGTGGAACTTCGATACGCTTATAGTCCATAATTTAAGATGATTGCATAGCTTTGTAAAGTGACACGTGCCTTATTATTATTATTATTATCTGTAAATGTATTATTAATCGACAATAAACAGCGGAATAGTATTCATGAGTATCTGAAACCTAATTCTAATAGTATTAATGCCAATTGGTGTTGGATAAAATCTGTAGTAAACGCCTCATTTACTTCTCATTACTTTATCCGAGTGATCTTTATTATTATTATTATTATATCCTTTAATTCTTAGAGGAGCATAGGACTTCAGCTGCGCGTCTCCATTGCCTTCGGTTTTCTGCCAACTTTTTCACCCCGCTCCAAGTCTGCCCACATGCTTTCATCTCCTCTTCACATGACCTCCTCCAAGTCGCTCTTGGACGACCAACTCGCCGCTTTCCTTTCGAGTTCCACTCGGGAGGTGATGTCACTTGATGGTTACCCCAGTGTATGGCCAATCTATCTCTATTTCTTCCTGCCTATTTGTTGCACAATCGGTTCTTGGTTGGTTCGCTCATTTCCAGAGATCCCTGCCTGTTGCTGATCTTTTCTCGCCGGCCATCTGATCTTGAGTGGTATTGAGCGAAGACAACTGTTAATGAAGGTTTGAAGTTTGTTTGAGATGCTCTTTATGACGCGCCAAGTGTCTGATCCTTTGTGTTTGTATACGCTGCCACCAATCACTAGTTCGTTGAAGGCGCAGAAGTCTGCGAAGAGTTCTCCATTTTCATTCACTTCTTCAAGAGCTTCTCTACCCATTTTGACTTCCCTTCCTGTGTTGTCTGATCCCAGTTTGGCGTTCATGTCTCCCATTAGTATTTTAATGTCACCAGCTGGAGTATTGTCCATTGCTGCCTGTAGTTGTCTGTAGAATTCTTCTTTCTTTTCGAGGTCTACGTTGTTTGTGGGTGCATAAGATTGCATAATTGACACTTTCCTTCCTTTGGAGTGATCTTTGAGGCAGCCTAATATCGTTCCAGACTTAAGGTCGATTCGGCAATTTAACGATTATCTGAAAGCGCATGTTCATATGGGTCCAATTCGATAGGTAAAAATCAAATACATATTCTTAGCTCATTTGGTTTAGCGCTTGACTTTCTGTCTACGCAGTCCAGAAATCTGTTGTGTAACTGATTAACTAAGCCGTTAGTTGAATTCTGCTTATATGTTTATTATTTTAATAATAACATCTTCCTTTCAAAACAAGAAAAATTAGCTAAGAAAATGGTCAACAGTTACTGTTAACCTTAATTCTTCCTTTCAGAAAGAATAAAAACTTTTTAAACTATCATTTTTCTTGGACAGCGTAATTGTATTTCAAGAACTTTCATTGTACACGCATTCGTATTCACTCTAATTGAAGATAGACATTTTTATTCATATCTATTTCTACTGCATTTACCAGTTTGAACCTGATAAAGATGAAACCGATATCATGTTGGGAGTTTCAAGTGAAGATGAGTCAGAGGACTTAGAAGATGATGTAGAAGACCTTGATTTGGATGAATTTGAAGCTGAAACAGAAGCAGTCGAAGATGAAGAAGACGTAGAAACAGAGCTATTCAATCCACTAGATAATGTTGGTGTCAGAATTCGAAACACTACATTTAATTCTGGTCATATTAATCAACATACCATCACTACACCGTGGGTCTCAAGTGTAAAATCTTTATCCGCTTCAGAAGCAGATTCTGTTGTCAAAAAGCCAATTGGATCATTTGATGAAATGAATCACTCGCAGAATTATTCTGGTAAAGACATAGATTCCTCTACCATGGATACATCGGAAAGTCTAATTGATTTAATAGTCAAGAAATCTAAGAATGGACTACCAGATATGGCTGGCAAATCAAATAAACATACATATTCGTGGGACAGGTCAGTCCATTGCCATTTGCTTTCTTTTATTATTAACAACTAGGTTGACATACTGAAAACATACACGTCAATAAGCTTTCCTAAAAAAACCTTCATTCTATAAATGTTTTAACAGAATTACATCAGGGGATGCATTTCCTGTTGAGATAAAATTTAAAATCCACTGACAATATCATTTTCTATGAATGTGTTCACAGTTTTGTATCTCAACGCAGCAAATCGACATTTTTTTATCCTTTGTACTCCGAATGAGGTAGCTTCAGTTTTTCTTTATGGTGTGGCGTCGCTAGTCTAACGTTCAGCCCTCCCTCTTCTCCGGGCTTACCATCGGCTAGTAAACTAGGCGAGGTTTTTTAGGAGTGTGTCGTCTGGAAATCGAACCCTAACTTCCCACATAGCTGGTCAGCCTTCTCCCACTAGACTGCCAATACATATAGTAGATATTAAACATTTATTGATCACTGGATAAAAGTTGACGTGGATTTTGAGTTTGTGAGTTAAGTTTACATTCGGTTACAAAGCCAAGTGATGCAACAGTAGGGTGGCACTATGGCTCACTGGGTTAAGCATTCAAGTTTCCGTCAGTGGGTCTTGAGTTGGAGTCCCACTCCACCTGCCTAAACCTGGACGGCTAGGTAGTACCACTATCCCCCACAAGGAAGATGTGGCTCGTCGCCGAATGCAAGAGGTTGTTGAATACTCCCTTTATTTCCAATTTTTATCTGATATTACCTCTGGTTTTAGCAATATCTGCTATGTGATGGGTAGTGATTGAAAATGATATAAAATCTGGGTGGTGTCACCATTCGAACCAGCGACCTTCGAATTACTTGTCTGGTGCCTTACTAGCGAGGTCTTTTATCAGTTCTGTCATACTGAATTAGGAGACAACCAAGCCACTGATTGATAATGAGACTATTTGAAATAGTTTTGGGTTGATTGATTTTAATTGATACAGTCGGTGATGTTGTGTACGTGGGATGGAAACTTCAGTCGCTTTTTGTCAGAAATTTGTAACCTCCTCTTGTAAATAAAGGTTATGCAAAATATGACAGGTCAGTTTATAGACAATAGGATGTCTTACTGGCACAAGAGGTGATGCAAGTTTGCGAGTGTCAAACAGACTTATCGTATTTGAGCTGAAGTTTAATTACCGACTAATCAGTTAGCGCTGATACAGTTTCCAAAAACTAATCACTTTATTCTCTTTCCTTAAACTCGGAGTTGGAGTATTTTATGCTTCAAAAGTGTAAATCAAATATTTTGCTCAGGGAACTTAAAACTTTTACACTGTGCTCCTATCTAAATCGTCTGTGTCAGTCAACCCTATTTTTCAAATCAGGAAAAATTAAAATTCCAGCTAGTTTTTTGTACCTGTGCACGCTTTTAGTTCTGTAATGTTAACTTAATATATTGGAAGCGGAGTTTAATAGCAGAATCTGTGTTTATCCAATGCATGCAATAAAAATTGTTCAACACCTGTTCTAGATTTCCGAAAAATTCTGTTTCCCTTACAAAAAGGAGAACGGAAGTAAAACTATAAAAACAAGCTCCTGAATTGCGGAATCGTCTCTAATGACGACATTAATAATAAATTGTGTTTGAAACTTAATCCAGCAAATATCACTACATAATGTACTTAATTTTAAAAAAACCCAATGAAGAGTTATCACATCACTCTCTGGTCTTACTGTTATATTAATCTTGCACAAAGTGAGTACTTCCCACCTACCAGTACAGTGGAAGATAGTGAGTGTTTGAAGGATTAAGTCAATTCGTTTTATTTGACCACAGACTTTGAGGGATACCTTGTTCAGGAGCACTTCCGTTCATAAAGAATGTTGCCATCTTTGGACACGACGGAGTATGCAGTGTTTGAAGGCTGTCTTTGAAAATTATGTACAACTGTACCTATTTCATTATCCTGAAAAACATTCTGCACGTATTTGGTATATTTCACTAAAAAGAAGTATCATCTTTTCAGTACTTTAATAGTGAAAATCGACTGTTTTAACTATGAAGCGTTTGCAAATGTTCGATGAAATAAGACTATATATATAAACATGGAAAGAAATCAATAGCTATCTTCATTTGAAATCAGAATAGTTTTTGTTATTTAGGTTTTTCAAGTTGTTTGTAGGTGGTATTCATTTTCAGTTTTATAACAGGTTTCATCAACTCTCTTCTTCGCTATGTTATGCATTATTTTTTGTTGTCCAGTGACAGAAACATTGATGGATATCGTTATTGTTGATTGCCATTTCAGAAGTAATAATGCTTTACCTACCAGTCAAATGGAATCATCTGTAGCCATATCTGACGGTACTGAAACAAATTCAATCTCTTCTGTCATTTCAACGTCTCATTCAATCACGCCTACTTTCCATCCAGACGGGGATAACTCACGTGCATCAGAGCTACTGGGACTGGGAGTTTCATCAACAGATACAGCTATGGATGGAGCAGGTTCCGATTCGTTGGCTGAGGAATATTTAGCCGCTTCGATCGATTTACATGAACGTCGGGCAGCTAGATTAGCTCGACAGGTGAGAATGCGTGAACGAATTGAAAACATGCGATTACGAATGCGCGAAACAGATATGGAACGTAAGCGATGGTTACCTGCTCGTATGCTCCAGTACCTTCGTCGATTTTACGCTGAAAGCGGTTATGTGCGAAGTACGACTGGCGCCATCATTAGTAGTATCTTTATAGTGGCAATTATTGGTTTCAGCACAATTGCTTATGTTTACTGGTAATTCATTTGAATGTGACGTCCAAATTTGTTTATGACCATCAAATAAAAAAAGATCTCATTGTCTTTAAATGAGTAAGCTGTGCCTTATGATAATTCTTCGTGAGTCAAACCCTACAAATATGATTCTGTCTCAGGTTGCCATACGTGTATAATCGTAATATATATATTATTCACTATTGTACTAATGACGCAACTGACAAATTTTATACACAAGACACAAACCTGATATTATTGAAAGTCAATTTCATTTCACCTTTTGCATTTCTTGTTAACTAAAATCTCTTTTTATTTGGAGTGTAACTCTCACTCACTCGGCGTTCGCACGTTACCTTGTGCTACAAGACCAATTGTTGTATAAATAAACATCCAATCACATTGCTGTCGACTATCTACTTCCTTTGCATCTCTTTTTAATTTAATTGTTAGGTTGTCATATCTCTTTTAGATTATTAATTTGTTTCTCAAAGTCAACAACATTACCAGTTGCGCATATATATATATATATACCACTTGCTATTTATGTCAACTTTTGCTGTGATATTATATGTAAAATATATATAAGCACAACTGTATGCTAATGCATATACATATATTTATAATGCAGATATGCGTTGCTTCTGTTCAGATGAATTTATTGAAAAAATGTAGCCCATATACACAAGTGATTGAGCAACCCTAAGTTAGTGCAGATTTCTAAAGTAATGAGAGTCAAATAGGAGTTGGAAATAGGTCGTATGCGAAATTGCTCTATATTAATTTAAAAAATCACTTATACGAACTAATTCATTAGTTTTATTTATTTTGATTACAGCTTGATTTCACACTGTATTTTTGGTACAAGTATGGAATTTTTAGCGTGGATATCGGTAGCCCAAATTTCGCAGGCCGACCATAGATATCAGGTGTGCGTCGGCGTGAGCTCGAAACCCCGGACCATGTGCATCGTCGGCAAGAGTTCTAACCACTGTGCCACCGATGTACATTGGCGTTCGGATGTCATCTTAAGTATTTTGATGGACAACAGTATATGAGAAGGGTTGCAGATGAAGAATGATTTCGGAACTGCCTTCGACAAGCTACTATTAGATTCCAGGTTTTTAAGCAAGAGCTTCTACAACATTTCTTGTTTGCTCTAGACATATAACATTTTTATCAAAAGTGTCAATAAATGGAAGTTGATATCCATTTTCTTACTTATATGCATATGTAATACGTTATTCTGATACGAGATCTCTCTCACTGTTGACAGTGAAGATGCTACCACAGTTTTAATAAAGCAAAAATAACAGTTTTTGCAGAATAAAATGGTACCATCATTTATTTTGTTGGCTTCTCATCGACTGCTTATAGGCCGAAGTCATTATTAAATATATCTACAGAAACTGTTTTAACATACTTGCACAGAGTTCATCTTTAAACAAAAATCAACCAATCATTATATGCATACAGTAATTACATATATATATATATATATATATATATATATATATATATATATATATATATATATACGTAATCAGATGAAAGAGATGAAAATACCCAGTTACCAGGTCAAAGAAAGCCCGATAACTGCTTCTTTCTGAACGCTTAAATCAAGTTTCAGGCGCTTTGTGGAGATGGCTTCAGCAAACTCTTTTGTCTATTGATAATTACAAACGATCTTGCGACGTCCACGTCATGACCCGTGTCAAGGAGATGCCTGGCGATTGCACTGTTTAAAGCATTTTTTCCCTTTAGACATAAGCGTTTCGGTACATGTTCAGAAAATTATAGATATGCCCTTCTTTCTGTTCCTCCACTGTAACTGCTCCCGCAGATACATGTACCACATTTGACTGTTCACTTTATTTCGAATTATGATAAATTGATCAGTTTTTGACTAAAGTCGAACATCTTAGAGGAAAAATTAGCTTATTGGCTCTAGATCAAGCGTAGATTAAATTACTTGGTGAACATCATTGAAGACTGAATATGTTGTATGTAGTATTCTTCATATCACACACAGCAGAAGCTATGAAGCGATTCTCATTCTTATCGTTTTTTTTTCTTTCACGTTCCCAGTGAAACATAGGGCTCCAAGTGAGAGGCTTGAAGTTTCTGTAGCAGTGGTGATCATTTTTACAGGATGGGGTTGGTGGCCTCATTCCCAGCCTTTCCTCTTTACCAGTCTCACCACTGGCTTAGCGAGGTAAAGGAGTGAGTCGGCCGGGGATCGAACCCCGGACCACGTGCATGGTCGGCGAACGTCCTAACCGCTGTGCCACCGACGCACCATTCTTATCGTAGTGCTGTACAATTAGATTTGTTTTGTAGTCCTTGAAATATAACCGAAGTTATGATGCCTACTTGTGGCAGACTACAGGAAGAAGTTATCTGGAGTTCTGGTGAGAATTCGTGACCAGTGGGATCCGCCATTTCTGATATGAGGACAAATACTCGCTGATGTGACATTGGCTGGTGGTCACGTTAAAGTCACGAAGTGATAGCAGCTAGTATTTGCTGGTCACTGATATACGTTCTTAGTGGCTGAGTGATCGGCGATCTTGGGCCGTGAAGGTTCCTTGTGAGGTCATTGGTGCCTACCGCTAAAGAGTTCCAAACTTGGATGAAACCAACACTCGCTGGCTTTCACTGGTTCTCGAATCGATATCAATCGGTGACCAAACCTGAAACAAACCGAATCCGTACAAACTAACTTTTGAAGATATAAATTCACTGAAAAGTGTTAAACGAAAGTCAGTGGGTGCGACATAAGGACCCATTTCAGGTGAAAATTTGACGTTGAAGAGTATCAATGACCATAGCGAACAAAAATTCAGCGTTTTACAGTTAAGAATATGAATAACAGTATTGTCGCTGTTTGTACTCCTCTTGTTTATTGATGGGGATATTTGTTATTCTATTGATCCAAATTATGATTTATTAGGCTATTTCACAGCTCTTTGGCACCACCACAGAGGGACAGGAGGCGTAGCCATCAGTAAGTGAAACAAAAACGGCCTGGCACCTAATTTATATGAGCACTTATGGGGTACCTTTTTCTAAATCCACTAGTGCTAGTTAAGAAACGAAAGTTGATAAAAATGACCTAATCGGTCGGAATGTTCAAAATGGATAAAAGAGTGGGAACGATGTTAAAGTGTGTAAATAAAGTTTGTACGGGAAATGCAGTGATTAGCAATAATAAATAAAAACTAAGCAACAAAATTAAGGCGAGTGAGTGTCTGTATTGTTTCTTAGGGGAAAATGTTTCGTTTTGAGGTCACGAATAACGAGTTATTTAGGAATGAATAAATGACATGTTCGACAGCCTCATATGCGATTTTGAGGTACTTTGGATCACTATGTAGCAGTCGTACAGCAGCTCCAGAGGCACATAGTTATCGTGCCCAGTTAGACAGTGTTCCGAAATACGATTGCGGACTTGATGCTGTGTCCGTCGTATGTACTTTCCTGTGCATAAACAAGTATTTGATGAACAAATTGAGGTGACTAGAAGTGGTATTTTATAGTTAACGCAGGGATGGATTAACTTTCTGCTGGACAGTATCGTTCTCAAGATCCCTGCATGAATCAACTTTTACATGCACTTAGAAAGACGCCTTTAAGTAATTTTGGCTTCAGTGTCACATTCGAACTCCAGGTTTAGGCAGATAGTTGAGATCATTTGCGACTTTCAGTGGTGATAGTTTTTCCTACATGTTGCGTTCAATAAATCTAAGTGGATATTCATTTTCCAATAAGATGTGATGTAGAGATTTCAGTTCATTCTCTACTATATCTTCCGTATCATTGACCATAACAAATCTAGATTTTGGCTTCTGACCAATGGTATATAGCCCTGGAAATTGATAAAATATCCAATCAATGGTTTTTTTGTTTATTGACCTTTGTTTGGTCTCCTAGTAGGTGGCATATCAAGAGATGGAAAAGGATGTTTCTAATCTCCTCCCAGAATAAATTTTATTGGAAAGTAAACTGTATTGAGGAGAAAGTCTAGGTAGTATTCTACACCGCATTTCTTTTCGAATTATGAAGTTGATTAACCAAAGGACGGATGATGTTATGTTCAAAAGCGTCCGATGGGACAATCACTCAAGAAAAGACACCGTGACTTCTGTATATTTATACACTTAGAACTGTTTTTTGAATTGAGGGTACATCTGAGATGCACTTCCTTAAGGAGACTGGTGGAAACAGGAATTTTTGGGTTGTTCAATTTTATGTAATCACATACGAAGCATATCATCTGAGTTAGGGGATTCTTGTGAAAATAAGAGTAGTGTGTGCGGAAAGCATTCGCTTTTTTGCTGAATCGATAAAGTCAAATAAATCTTTAAAACTATAACTCATCATATATCTTCGACCCGGTTCCAGGATATTATTTTTAGTATTATTTTAAAAAATGTTCTGATATTCTGTGTCACCCTCCCACTGATCTATTTAACAAATCTTTTTCCTAGTAATATGGTGTCTACCGTTTGGAAGGACATTAAAGTTGTACCTATACCTAAATTATCTACTGGAGCATGTGTCAAATCTAAACCCATTGCTATTACCTCTCCTTTTTTGAAAACTATGGAGAAGCTACTTTTACTTAGTCTTGTACCTTCGCTTAAATCCTTTAATGACCCTAAACAATTTGCACAGTAGAGGCACTTTAGATGCAGCTGTCGTCTTATGTCATAACATTGCTTCCAGTCTAGACAAGGGGGCTAAATTTGTTCGTTGTGCCTTCCTAGGCTATACATCTGCTTTTGACTCGGTCCCTAGGGACATCTTATTAAATAAACTTGCTGCAAGTCAAACAGAATGTTGGGCTGTTAACTGGTTACATTCCTACTTCTCAGAGAGAAAGCAGTACACCGTGTATAAAGGGAGGTCTTCCACTTCATTGCCCACTGAAGCTGGTGTCCCTCAAGGCGCTGTCCTTTCTCCTTTTCTTTTTTCTTTCTTCCTGCATGACTTGCCTCACTCTGATAACGAAATGAACTTTGTTAA